ACCTTAGCTGATTTGGAGGAAAGAGGAGCAGAGTAAGAGTTAAGGACAAAGTAAGTGGCCCCAGTGTCAACAGTAAAGTTGATTTTCTTACCTGCCACATCTAGAGTTACCCAGGGTTCCTCAGTGGAGATGGGAATATGAGTATTCCCTGGGGCCAACCTGTTCTCCGGGCACCCTCAGTCCTCAAAAGTAGCCATGGCCTTGGGTGATGACTCCTTTCCACTCTGGGAACGGGAGCAGTCTCCCTTCCAGTGTCAGGGGTCAGGACTGGTATTCTTGCATGGAGGACAGGGTCCCAGAGGTGCTCGAGTGCAGATCTTTGCCCAGCGTCCAGGGTGCTTGCACTTATAACAGGTCTGATCCTTTCGCCCCCGATTCTTTTGAGGCCTCCCCAAGCTCCCCTTATGGGACTGGTTTCCGCCAATAGCACTACTAAAGGCTAGTGCAAGGAGCTCAGCTTGCTTCTTCCTTTCCTTCTTTCCGTTTTCTTTCCTCCAAATCTCTACTGTTAAAGACAGAAAAGGCCATATCCATGAGTTGGTCTTGGCGGGGGGGTGTCTGTGGGCCCATTTGTAATTTCTGAAGCTTCCTGCGAATATCAGGAGCAGACTGACTTATAAAATGCTGTCCTATCAAGATTCAACCCTCCACGGTGGGCGGATCCAAGTTCGTATATTTCTGGAGGTTTCTACTAGTCTGTTTCTGAAGAGAGCAGAGTTCTCCTCCTTGCCCTGGGTGATTTCCCTAATCTTTTCATAATTTACAGGTTTCTTGATGCAGTTTCTCATTCCTGCTAGTAGGCAACCTATCACTGCGTCCCTACTCCGGATACCTGCCTGAGTATTGTATCCCCAGTTGGGATCCTGGTCTGGGACGGCTTGGGCAGCAGGCTGATTAGTGCCAGGGTTCTGGGTATGCAGCTGGTCTGCATGTCTACGGGCCTCCTCCCAGATATGCTCTTTCTCACCTGGGGAGCAGCAGGTGCTCAGAGTTATGTACAAATCCCTCCATGACATACTAAAGGCTAAAGTAAGAGTCTGGAAATTATTATGAAATGCGAAGGGTACTCCATAAAACTCCCTAGCCTGTCTTTGCATTGTAAGTCAGTTATAGAGAAGGACACTCATACTCTTATAGCGCCCTCAGGGCTTGCTACCTCCCTCAAGGGGAAGAGAGTGGGCGTGGTAGGGAGATAAGAAGCGCCACTCCTAGTGTGTCCTGCTGGGCTGTTTTTTCTCAGTTGGTGGCTTTAGGTTGTTCATAGCATAGGGTGGTGGAGAGGTCGATCCCTCTAAGGTAGGGGCAGAGGCTCCTGAACTCTGGGGTCCCCTTAATTGAAGGGGCCAAACTTTAAAACTAGGTTAAGTCTGGGCCGAAACAAGAAACTAGAACAAACAATACCCCAAGATGAAGGGAAGAATTAGAGCCCCCCTTAGTAACAAGATAGGACAACGGCTGAGCCTTGACTCAGATAAACAGCCCGTAAAAGCAGGGTCAAAGCTGAGGATAAGGGAGGAACTAATACCAAGAAAAACATATCAGGGTGCAGCCCCCATGCAGCTGGGCCAGAGTCGACAAGAATGAGGAGGAGGCATAGGGCAACGGTTGAGCCTTGCCTCAGATAAACATCCTGACCAGAGAAAGACAGAGTAGGGGGCCCAGTAACAGCCTTGAACCCAATCAGCAAAAAAAAAAAAAAAAAAAGAAAGAAAGAAAGAAGCTGCCTATCGCTAACTGCCACTTCTCACCCTTGTATCTTGCTTGCTTGCTCTGCTTATAAAAACCCGTGTACCCTTACAGTGGCGCGCCTTTTTCCTTTCGAGGGAAAGGTGGCCCCTGCGCAGATGAAACTTGGCCAAATAATAAAGAGTGTGTGATCAAACTCTAATTCCTGAGCTCATACTTGCGGGGATCGTAACATTAATCTCTTGTGAGAGACAGGTGGGGAACTGAGGAGGGTATCTTCTAATTGATCAACACTTGGGCCCTTAGGTTCTGTCAGGGCAGGGCTGGGGCAAAAGGAGGGATCTCGGTACAGAGCCATAAATGCCTGCACATAAGGAATTTCGGACCATTTATCTACCCTCCAGCAGAACAGCTCTAACTGTAAGATAGGCGTCCCTCTTTGCTCGCCTCAGGAGCTTTCCTAGTGGGTCATAGGGCGTCCCCCGGGATCCCACCAAACTACCAGACGTCTCTGGTGAAAGAAATCCTAGTGTCAGCCGACAGAAATCAAAGACTTAAGAGGATCACCACAGTCTAGTTTTGTAAAACTATTGGGAGGAACCACTCCAGCATTCTTGAGCAATTGCCTATAATCCTGATGATCCTAGACCCACTGCTCTACCTGAGTCATCTGAACACGTTCTGACTCCTGTATTCTCCATCTATAGAGACCCTCATCTTACTATAAGCCTTCAGGTCTGGGGCAAAGGAGGTGTCTTACTAGCAAAATAGTTTCTGGCCCCATAAACTACCAAGAGAGACATCAAGATGACCTTATTACAAAATTACTCTTTTACAAATCACAAAGAGGATACTCAGGTATTCTAATTTATAAAGCTTTAAGAGATTGTACCAGATTCCGAAGTTTCCCCAATAGGGACCTCAAGAGGTGTCTGAAGCACCCCCACCCCCGCCCGCCACGCCCAAAGGGGATTTGCAACAGGGTCCAGAACTTGGGGTATTCAAGAAAAACACAGGACATTTCTTTCCCCCTTACAAGGCAGGCTGCCTTGGGGGACGGGAGACAGGGAGCAGGACCAAGGAGGGTCACTTTGCATATCACTAAAGGACAGCTCCACACCTCATATGCAAATACAGTTATTTTGCACATCCACAAGACCGACCAGGAATGTCTGCCACAACTCCAACCCAAGATGTAACTAAGAAGCAGGCCCCCCCTCCCCCTCCCCAACAAGGCCTGTTCAGGAGGTCTCAGAGTTGGCTCGCTTCATGGGGGAAGGGGGTGGGGGAGATAATGCAAAGACCAAGCAGGAAGAGGAGGAAAGATTCCCGCCAGTGGGCCATGAGAATGCGCCACGTGGCTCCAGACTAACTAATGGAGATCAGGGCGACACAGCTGATGGCACTGGGAGCTGCGAGAGGCCTGCCTAGCTGGATTCTGGACATACACTCCCCTTACTCTGAAGGAAGACACCCCAGACCGGCCCAACTGGCCTGACGAGGCAAAGTGGGGGGAAGGCAGGACTGTGCATTGGTAAATGTCCCAAAGGGACTCTGAAAGCCAACGGCAACATTCACTACCCCAAACCTGCACAACCCTTGAACAAGTAGTCCCCTTCTCCAAACAGGTCTAATAATCAGTAACATTCTGGGTACAAAGACAGCAGGAACCCTACCTAAACAAAAAGGCAGGTGGAGTATGGGTGCAGGTATAAAGGCCAAAATCAACTCGGGAGGACAAGCATAAAAGACTCTCTGTGGGCCTGACGAGGAGACTGAAAAAGGGAATCACAGCGCAGACCAGGTGGTGACTGATATCCCGTATGGAAGGTCAAACTATGCCTATGAGGGAGTGGCCGCAGGGTGGGGTGGTGTCTTAAGGTTTTCAGTGTGCCTGACCGGTGTGCGGGCATTTTCTCGCACCTGGAGGGGACTAAGCTAACCACGTTCCACACCCAGGTTATCCTATCACGGGTGTCTTCAAACGGCGGGCGCCCTAGTGGCTTTTAACTGCTTGACCCGTGCCCGCAATTTAGCGGCCTACCTTCCATCAGGGAACATCAGACTCACCAAAACAGAATAAATGGCAATGGAAAGGGGCATCCTTGGGTGGCAGGGCAGCGAAGAGGGCTTACCACTCCAGTGTCTGCTCCTGGCTGGCGCGCCAAAAACTGTCACAGGTGAGCACAGGTAACCAGGTTCTTGGTGATCGCGGACAAAAAATTGAACCAAACACAGAGTTTATAGCAGAAAGCGAGAAAAAGCAGATTTATTAAGCCACATAGAACATGGGAGCAGGCCACCTCTGAGCAGAGTGGAGCAGAGAAGAGCCTAACAGCAGCAGCAGCCCCGAACTCGGGGGCTAGAGCTTTTATTCCTTAGGGTGGGGCTCCCATGATTTCTTTGATCGGCTACTGGGAAGAGGGCCCCACAATGCTAATTTATTATAATGAAGTAGGGGTCAGGTAGCATCCTCTGCGAGAGTGCAGTCCTGATTAACTAGGATTTAATGCTTTTCCAGATGCAGAAACTACCAGACTTAGGACAGGGTCTCCGCCCTTTATCCATGTTCTTTATCTTAGCCCTGGGGCACCTCTGGAGTTTCCTCCTTCCTGACTATCTCCTGCTTCACTATGTTCATGGAAATAACCCAATAGAGAGAGAAACTAATGATATGAAAGAGGAAACAATCACACAAGTGAATTATTGTGACAGTGAGGTGGGTGGGATCTTGAGCTGGTGTTGAAGGATAAGACTTTGATAGGAAGAGTAACACATTCTCAGTTGTAAAAAGGTGGAAGAAAGAAATAAAGGTGCGTGGAAGCAGCCAGGTTTGTAGGTTATTGATAGGGATAAAATAGAGATCTTGTTTGGTGTTTTTTTCTCAGTGAAGTATAAAGTAAGATTCCTATCTTATTTTCTGGGGACTGAGGACAAGGAGAGAGGGAACTGTTGTGAGCCAATTTGAGTCCTCAAATAATTAAAGGAAAATCAAGTAAAATCTTCACCTGAGCACAGTCACTTGGGTGCAGAGTTCACACAGCCAAGGGCCCCTGTAAAGCCATGTTAAAGAATTTGACTTTAACCTGAAATCAGCTGAGAGCCGTCAAAGGTTTTAAGGAGGGAGGAGCCATGATCAGAATCCCGTCCTTGCAAGTACTCTCTGGCTGAGGTGCAGTGTCTTTCCAGGAAGTACCAAAGGCCTAGGGGTCCAGACCGTTACAGAACAGAGTGCCTGTGCTGAGGAGAGGGACAGGAGAGACGACTTTGAACACTCGGTGCATACAGTTACTCCAGCCCTCTCAGGTCCATACCTGTGCACACTTTCTTTAGGAAGTATAAATGTTAATTCTCCAGTACTGGACTGGAAAATTGCATTTGGTATGTGAAGATGAGTTAGGTGAAAAATTGCCTTTGTGTTACAATCAGGTTTTTTTCACTAAAGTTATATAATAGCCTGCACCTGAGATGACATTGAAAGGACCATGAAACACTTTTATTATTTATAGTCATATTTAGCTTTCTGTAGAGTAGAATGGGATAGCTTTGTGGGAAAGAGAAAGTGGAGAACCCTGTGGGGCAAATTTAAAGCACACTGAACTCACCCCTGAAGGTCTATAATGCTACCCTTGAGGGTCTTACCTTCTACTCCATAACTGGAATGCAGTAATAACAAATTCAGCAACGCTAGGCAAAATAAAGGAGGGTTGCACTATGGGCAACACTGTCTTTAAGTGATAACTAACTTGGGGAGGTAAAAACTTAGTAGGCAGAGGCCTTAACATTAATGTAAAGAACAAAGTTAACTCTATAATAATTAAATCACATTTTTGAAGATATGTACCTTTTGGCGTTCTCGGCATTCTTTCAGAAATTAATAACGCTTGTTACTATATGCTGGACAAGTAGTCATTCAACAAACATTTCTTGAGCTCCTATAATGTAACAGGCACTGTTCTAGGTACTAAGGATATAACTAGCAGTGGATGAAACAGTAAAAAATCCCTACTCTCATGGGGCTTTCATTTGAGGGGTACAAGGCAGATAATGAGACAAGTAAGTAAATTTATAGAATATTAGTGAAAAGTGCTATGGAGAAAAATAAATAGGGGAAAGGATATGGAATATTGGAGAGTGTGATTTTTAAACAGAGTTACCAGGGTAGGACACACTGAGAATGTGACATCTGCGTAAGGACCACCAGCTGGAGACCTGAGGAAGAGTAGAGGGCAAGGCAATGTGCAGGCCTGGAGCAAGGCGTGGGCCTGGCAAGCCAGATCAGCCAGGGGGCCTGTACGGCATGAGCAGAACAAGGAGGTGGAAGAGCGCTAGGAAATGTGGCCAGGGTAACAGTACCAGGCCAAGTGAGGACCTAGGGGCCACTCCAAGGACTTTGGCTTTTACTCTCAGTGAGAGGGGAAGTCATTGGAGGGGTGAGCAGAAGAGTGACATGTTTATTCTGGCACCTGGGCAGAGGCTGTGGGTGGGTTAGGAGACAACTGTAATAATCCGGATGGAGAATGGTGGGCAGGACCCAGGAGCTAGCAATGGTAGACGTGAGAAGAAAGTAAGGCAACCATGGACTGCAGACGGGTCCGGTGAGGGCTGTGAGAGACAGAGGGATCAGCGAGCCCCCACGGTTTTGGTCAGCTTCTAGAAAAATGGAGCTGCCTTTGCTGCGAGGAAGTGTGTTTAGTGAGAGACTGCTGGAGCTCAGCCCTGTACAGGCTTTGGAAAAGTCTGACAGGTCCATTTAACGTCCATGTGGAGGTATGGAGTAGGCAGTTAGATATACAAATCTAGAGATCAGAAGAGAGGTTCAGGATAGAAGCACACACATTTTTCAGCACAGGCAAGGTATTTAAAGCTAGGAGCCTGGGTGAGATCACTAAGCTTGTGGGCACAGAAAGAAAAGTGAAGTGACCAGGGCACTTCCATTTTTAGAGGTGGGGGTGTTGCAGAGGAGCAACCAGAGACATGTGAGGGGACCAAGAGGACATGGGAAAACAGAGGAGGGTATTAAGAGTGAGAGTAACCAGTTGCGGAAATAACAAGTCGCACTTGTATAGCACTTTTGCACACATGATCTCACTCTTTGAGGAATGAAGCATCTTAATCCCCATTTTGTAGGCTAAAAAAAAGAGATAAACTAACCTGATCATCTGGATGAAGAGGCAGTGAACTGGCAGAACTCAAACACAGGTATCCTGATTCCAAGTCTCAGAGATTTTCACTTATTTCTTTCCTCATTTTCACAGTCCCCTCTGCCTGGGGCCTCGGGTCTCTACCCAGTGGTAGCAGACAGGAGGTCTAGGGAAGGCCTCTCCCTGCCTGATCTCAGGGACCTTAGTGAAAGGTAACAGTGGGCACCTTCCTCAGCACACTGGGTTGGTAACGGTGACCCCATATGGATTGGAGGTTGGGCTCTCACCCCGGTTCCTACCCTTAGCCACTAACTGTATTTCTGTTTTAGAGACAATGAAGACCTGCAGCACTGCAGATGCCCCTTGGCCATAACGGTGATGCGGTCCCCGAGCAGGCCAGCCTTATCCATGAAGTGGGTGGTCAGCAGGATGGTGTGGTCACTTAATGCTGCTGAAGAAGGTCCCAGATGGCCCTCCTGGAGATGGCGTCCATGCCCGAGGTGGGCTCATCCAGCATCAGCACCTGGAGGGCAGAGGAACAGTCTTGTGGAGAGGCCCGGGCTGGCTGTGCTGGTGGCCTCATGCAGCTTGAGTTCTATGAAGATGTAGCAGTATTGCCCCCACCAGACTGTCCATCCAGGGTGTCCAGAGTCAAGGTGTAGCCAATAACCAGCCCAGGCCAAGCCGGAGCTAAAGGGTGATGCCCCTGGGCCCACTGCCCCAAGTGTTTGTCCACTGCATGTGAGGGGCCCTGACCTTAGAGCCCGCTATTAGGGCGATGCCCATGCTCACCCTCCTGCTCAGGAACTTGCACAGGGAGTCCCTCTTGTCCTCCAGACTGAGGATGTGTAGCATCTGTTTGACTTATTCAGGGAACTTCTGGTGGGACAAGCCTTTCAGCTGAACTAGTAGGGGACAGAGAGATTGGTAGGGGCTTCGGACAGGAGGCCGACCCAGACATCAAGCATTTTGCTTGTATATACATAAACTATACACAAGATACACAAAAACACATACTGCTCATCAGGAAAAGGGATGGACAAAAGGCTTTTCCATTTTGGGGAAATATATGACTTATTATTACTAAATATAGCAGCACATTAAAAAGATTATATACCATGACGAAGTGGGATTTATCCTAGGAATGCAAGGAGAGTTCAAAATCAAGGTAAGTGTATAAGCCTACTTATATCATAAGTGCTTTACTGAGTTTCCACCTAAAGGTGACAGTGGGAACTCCTGTATTTGTAGCTAGTGAATCAGAAGTACTTTCTTTCTTTTTGTCTGGGAACCTCCAAGCTTGTGGCTGGTTTCCAAAGTGACAGTCTTGTGGGGTTACTGTGCCCTTAATGTGTGAGGGCTGTGCTAACTCATCATGAGCATCAAATTGCATTACAGTAATACAGCATATTTCTAGAATGAAAAGTAGAATAGTCAAGCTGATTCTGAAATTAATATGGAAATACATGGGACCTAGAATAGCTAAAACAATCTTGAAAACAAGAGAAAAGTTAGAGGACACATGCTACCTGATTTCAAAACTTACTACAAAGCTATAGAAATCAATCAAGGCATTGTGATATTAGCATAAGGATAGACATATAGACCAATGGAATAGAATTGAGAATCCAGAATAATCCCATACATCTGCGAGCAATTGATTTTTGACAAAAGTGCCAAAACCATTCAAAGGGGGAGAGAACAGTGTTTTCACAAAATAGGGCTGGACAACTGGCTCTGCACATGCAATGTACAGTGAGCCAGGAGCTAAAATTCTTCAATAAACATGGGGGAATAACCAGCTGCAAAAGATAACTTAACTAAAAAGTAGCACTTGGTTTAGTTGGATGACACCACTTCAAAGGGGATAAATGTCTTGAACAAGAAGCAAAGAGGAATAATCTGGAGGCAGCAACCAGGAGCAAGGATATACCTTCCTATCTTTAGGTCTTGTGGCGGGATAGGATGTAATGTGTAGGTGTCCTAGCAAACTTCAGTGATTACCAATGAAGTGTTTCTTGAGCGCTGTTATAAATCATGGATTTTTACATTTCATATTGAAATTTACATTTCAATTCACTGAAATCACCATCCTTTTGGATGTTCAAAATATCCTGTCTTTGATGGGTGGAAGCATCTTCATGTTGACTTTTCATCTTCTAGACATTATGCCCATTGGTCTTTGAGAGCTCCCTTGCTATAGTACAAAATGTCCAATGCTCATATTGGACATTTCCTACCTCAGACCTTGAATCAGCTATTTCTCCAAGAAGCTCTGTTTTCTCTTAGAGGCATTCAGAGACCACGATCTGGGCACTAAGGCATTTACTGCTATTGAGTTGTCATTAATTTTAGGTCTTTTCAGTGTACATAATAAGGAAATATATTTTTTCTTTTATTTCTTCCTTTTTTTTTCATTTCTTTCTTTTCTTTTTTTTTTTTTTTGCTTTGGTTAGAGTAAGAGAAGTATTGATTTGTTGTTGCACTTGTTAATGCACATTCATTGGTTGATTCTTTTTATTTTATTTTATTTTTTTATTTTAGAGAGAGGAGAAGGGAGGGAGAAGGAGAGGGAGAGAAACACCAATGTAAGAGAGCATCGATGCAAAATACATATATTATATATATATATATATATTTTTTTTTTTTAAACTCCTCACTCCAGAATAGAGAAGAAGGGGGAGAGAGAGAGAATCATCAACCAGTTGACTGCTATACACACCCTAACCAGGGATTGAACCCGAAACCTAGGTATGTGCCCTGACTGGGGATCAAACCCACAACCTTTTTTGGTGTATGGGACAGTGCTCCAACCAACTGAGCCACCTGGCCAGGGCTAAAATATGTTTTAAAGGCATTTGAAGTTATTCTTTCTTTTGTGGGAATAAAACCTTTACTTCTGTTGCTTTAAAATTTTTTTAAATTGCTTTTATAATTTCCTTTTTTATTTAATTTTTAAAAAATCATTTACATGGTGTGATAGGCAGAATAAAGTCTTCCAAGAAATGTCCAATCCTAATTTCTGAAACCTATGACTATGTTATTTTAAATGGCAGCAGGGATTTTGCAAATGTGATTAAAAATCTTTTTTAAAATTTTATTTATTGAGTATTAGAGAGAGAGGAAGGAGGAGAGAGAGAGAGAGAGAGATCAATTTGTTATTCCACTTATTTATGCATTCATTGGTTGCTTTCGTATGTTCTCTGACCAGGAATCAAACCCGCAGCCCTGGTATATCCAGACGACACTCTAATCAATTGAGTTACCAGGCCAGGGCCTAAGAATCTTGATATGAGGAGATCATACTAGATTATCTGTGTGAGCTCAATGTAATCACAAGAGTCTTCACAGGAGACTGGTCGGAGTGTTAGAGTAAGAGGAACTATGATGGAAGCAGAGGTCAGAAAGAGAGCTATGAAGACGACATGCTGCTGGCTTTGAAGATGGAGGAAAGGGCCATGAACCAAAAAGTATGTGTGCATCTTCCAGAAATTGGAAAAGGGAAAGGGAAAGATTATTATTCTCCCCTAATGTCTCCAGAAAGAACACAGTCCTGATGTTTGATTTTAGCCTAGAGAAACACACTTGGGACTTTGGCTGTAAGATAATATATGTGTCATTTTTAGCCACTGAGTATGTAATAGATTCTTCCAGCAGCAAAAGGAAAGTAAGTAATGTGTTTCAAAAGTCAAAACTATATAATAATTAACCACCAAGTTTAAACTTACAACCAAGTTTAAATAGCACTTATCTTCAGTAATATACAGGTACAAACATTCTGCTCATATATACCTTTACTTTTTCCCCTTTTTATTGTTATTTGACAGATTATATCTTTGTACACTGTGTGCTCATTAACATAGATTTATAATTAGTTTTATGCATTTGCCTTATAAATAACATAGGAAAACAGGGGAAGATTTCAAACTAAAAGTACAGGAAGACTGATTTTAGTTACTTTTACCAATGGTCTTTATTTCTTTCTTTTCTTCCTTTCTTTTTGGTTTTGTCAAATGTTTATTGAGTGTACATCTGGAGTACTGTAAAACATGAATTGCCTGTAGATTCAAAAAGGAGCAAGCCACATTGTCCTCACTGCCAAACGCTTCAGGCTTGGCATACAGGATGGAAATTACTGAAGTATCACGAGAGTTATGTGGTTCCTGGAAAGCTTCTGCAATTTGGAGTATGGTCTTAATCATGTGAAAAGCAAAGCTGTTTTTCTTGTTGTTCTTTGATCCTCACCCAAAGATATATATATTTACTAATTTTAGAGAGAGAGGAAGGGGGGAAGAAAGAGAGAGAAAGAGAAACATTGATGTAAGAGAAAAATTGATCAGTTGCCTCCATACACACCCTGACTAGGGATTGAACCTGCAACCTTTTGATGTACAGGATGATGCTCCAACCAACTGAGCCACCTGGCGAGGGCACAAAGTTGTTCACATTAGTGAGTTTGGATTTTATTGGAGGTACACAGTATTTTAATTTTAAAACAAATAAAAATAATTGTGTTTGTAGAAGATTCCCACCCCTCACCTTTGTTCCTTCAGTTTTCAGAAATTTCAATTTAAAAAATCATGCCTTTTGGAAATTGTACATTGATCTGTGTGATAACTAAAATTGATTTCTTTTTTTGGTTTCTAAGATGAATTTGAAGAAGATAATATCTCCATCTTCAGAAATATAATTTCTGCCTTGTCTGTACTTTCCAGCAGTCTTGACCTCATTTTCAGAAACTTCCTCTTTAAAATCTTCATATTTCATTACTTCAGCCATAATGAATCCTTTTTCAAGCTCTGTGCGAATCTATCCTACAGCCTGAGGAAACTTCATGCCTTTCCTGAGTCCATGCACACACTTCATCTGTGCCTGCAGTGAAAAAGTGTTCTAGCTGGAGTCCTGCAAACCCAGCCTTAATGATCTTTGGCAAAGCACTTTGTGTCATGTTTGCTTCCAGATATTTCTGTCTCTCCTCGGCACTCAATTCTTGCAACTTAATTCCAAGGCCCCACTAAAAGAAATGATCAAGGCCCCTGGGCCATACTTGTCCACACACTCTTGAATTTTTATTAACCATTTGTTTTTCTTTCAAATTTAGTCTTTTTCAGAAAGGTTAGCCTAGTAGACCAGCGGTTTTGAAGTCAGAAATAAGTGTTTGTTCAGCACTCAATCTCTTTGTCATTCCAATCATGGTAGAAGCAAACAGATTTCTTTTGATCTATAACCCAGGATTTGACCTTGCACATTTTGTCGTATTCAGGTTTTAGTTTTTTACCTCCTCCTCTCACAGGTGTGTTTTCTAGTTTATCTATAATGAACCCAATCATTTCCTCATCTTTAAGTTGAAGTTCTTTGTTTCGAATATAATCTACATTTCCTTCAACATCTGTGATACATCTTCAAAAGCACATGTTAGATGAAAGATTCCACAATAGGCACAGATATGAGATAAAAAGGCATTTACCAGTCCCAGCTACTGTGGCTCATTGGTTGGAACGTTGTCCTGTGACCAGGCAGGTTGTGGGTTCAGTTCCCAGTTGGGGTACATACCTAGTTCCGGCGAGGATCCCGTCTGGGTGCACACGAAGGCAGCCAGCAGCTAATGAATGTTTCGCTCTCCCTTCCCCTCTCCCTTCCTCTCTCCCTTCCTCTCTCTGAAAAAAAAAGCAAATGAAAATGTCCTCAGGTAAGGATTTAAAAAAAAAAAAAAATTACGAAAAAAAAAAAGAAGAAAAAAAGAAAGAGGCATTTACCAGACCTTGTCCATTGTGAACCTCTTTTACTTTACCAAGACCAGCAATATCCACTACATTTAGAAAGGCAGGAATTTCCCTCTCTGGTTTGTGGTACTGGCAAAGAAATCAAACCTGTCATCTGGCACCTTAGGATCAACAGTACATAATGGGCAGTTTTCTGCTGAAGGCTGATTATTCGCTGATATATTGAAGAAGGTAGATTTCCCAACATTTGGCAATCCAGCAATAACAGTTTTCAAGGAGGTTCTAAATTTTCCAATAATTG